CTATTATAAAAAAGGCTTGAATTTACTTCTACCTAAAATATTAGCCATCCATTTTGTTATTTTTAAAATTATATTGTCCATTCATTGCATTAAAATAATTATTAAATCTAGAAATTTATAATAATTATTCAATTTACTAACCGTTCCATACATTTAATAAATTAATTAATTAGGTAAATGAATGTATCTTAAATTTTTATTCCTCAACTAATGTCTCTTAGATTTATTCCTCAGCTAATTGAGTTTTTAGTCTTCTCCAAGGCTGCTTTATTCCCTCCATTCATTTTATTTTTTTCTTAAATTATCTTGATCATCCATTGTATTATCCTGACCCTTCATTCTATTTTATAATTTTAAAAATATCATAAAAATCATTAATTTTAATATTTATTCTATCTAATAAATTCTTAACCGTTATCTTAACATCTAAAAACATATAATAATTATGCAAATTAATGTTTATTATCATAAATTAATGCCTCTTAAATTTTATATATAAATGTGATTTGAGATTCCTACCATAAATAATTCTAATCTTATATTTATAAATCTAAATAAATCTCCAACATTCATTTTAAACTCTTAATATTCTCTTATATTTTCGTTCCAATAGCTGAAAGATTTGACTCGGTTAAATGACCCAATGGTTTGTTTAAAAAAAAAAATTAATGCTTCATTCTTTAATTTCTTCAGCCATATGTTACACACTTCACCATTCATTTTCTTCGGTGAGTTTGTGTTAATCGCCAAACGGTTCGTGATAATACAAAAAAAATCCCTCTTCGAATTCCACTCTCGAACATTTATGTCTTCTGTTCGTTCGTCTTTTCTCCTCCCGTCTGAAAGGGCAAATTATTGGGTCAGGTGACCGAAGCCATCTCTCCGTTCAGTCGCCAATAGAAATGCGACATCTGTTAGGAATTTTTTTAATTTAATATTAATGCTTTATGTCTTGTCAGAGTTAGCGACCCGACCCGATAATGCTTTTCATTTGAATTCCGGAAAAGAAAGAATGGAAA